TTCATCCCCCTCCCATGGCATCTTGCCATGCAATCACAGAAGGTGTAACATTTATCCCGTTACCTCCTCCCTCTTCACTGTCCGAGGCTCCAAATATCCCATCCAGGTGAATCGCACCTGGATTTACACCAATTTCAGTCTCCTCTGCATTAGGGAGGCTCCCAAACATAGACTGGATGGCCACTTTGCAGAACACTGCCACTAATCCATAAGTATTACCTCATCTTTCAGTTGTTTGCCATTTCAATATATCATTTTACTCTCATGCTCACGCTTTTGTCCTAGGCCTGTTGCAGTGTTCCAGCCTTGTTATCATTTCCCAATTAGGCACTTTACAGCCTTCTGGAGTCAACATTGAACTCAGCAACTTCAAGCCAAGAGTTGTGTCCTCCATTTTGATACTTAAATGCCTTTATCCCCACCTCTGCAGACACTGCCAGATCTGATGAGTTTCTCCAGTACTTTGTTTTTATTTCAGATCACCAACATGCACAGTATTTTAACACTGATGCAAAATAAATTTACATGGGTCTGGCACCGGTTTACAAACATTGGAAGCATGTTAGCAAACAGCATCTCCTCAGAAACGCGCATTAAAATATCTCAATGACACTTTTAAGGATCTGAAAGGAACTTTAAAAAAATTTCTAAACTGGTTCCTAGTCTAAATCATATTCTTGTATCAGGTAAGATGAATTTGCGTTCTGTTTTGTTCTGCTACAATGTAGTGAAATTTGTTGGTCTACCAGTAAGCTGCAGCACTAGGTTAGTTGTAAATACACCGTGCTATTCAGTTCAGGCTTAACCTGCTGGATTCAAGGCAGTGGGTGGTACGAAGTGATTTTTTTGTTTCCTTAACACTTGTCAAAATTACTCAAACACTTTTTCTGCTGTAGCACAGTGAGACGCCAGAATGCATGACCAGAAATTTTGTGGCATTACCAAGAAACATGAAATAGGCCATCCTGTTGTACAAATCAAATAACTTGACCTGTCAAACAAAGAAATTACTTTCAACAACTTGTATATGAATAAACTTTCTTGCCAACATCCAGGGGAATGTTGCGGATCAGACCTAGGTCTCTGATGGATTAAAATATCACCAAATAGAAATTCTCCTGAGAAGCCAAATTGTACAATACCTTTCACCATCGGAGCCACCTTCTATATATCATACAATCATGCATTACAAAAAGCAGTTTAAAAAAGAACTTATTCTTCTAAACAAAAATGGGTTCAACCATTGTAGAAAAAGGTCACATTCTCGGGTGACATTCCAATGCAGGATTGAGGGAAACGGCATTTTAAACAACTAAATGACCGTACCCTGTTCCTATGGGCTGTCAGCAGCGCCATCTTTCAGATGAGGTGTTAAACCGAAAGCCCAGCTGACCTTGGGACGTTCTATGCCACTGGTTTAAAGAAGAACAGGGTAATTCTTCTCACTGTCCTGAGCAGTGTTTGTCCATCAATAATCCCACAAAAAAAGTGATCACATTATTATCACATTGCTGTTTACAGGAGCTTGCTTTGAACCAACTGGCTACTACATTTCCTACATTACAAGTCGCAAATTTCTATGTTGATTACAAAGTACTTTAGGACACTCTAAGGCTGTGAAAAATACAATCTATGATAGAAAGTGTGAAATCAATTTTCTATTATTTTAGTTCCTGTGAAAGGATTGAGGAAGCTCTCCATATTTGTTTTTATATTGAGAACTTATTTCTGCCAAACAAAGCTGTCCCAGCAATGGCATTCTCAGTTTGAGTAATGATTTTGCGAAGAAGTAATTTGTTAACTTAACCTTTATAATGGACTTGCACCAGGTGATTGTATACTAGTCCATTATCTCTTTACAGCTGAATATTTTGTGTCAGAACACTGGAAACTCTTTTTAGTAGGTTTACGAGCTGAAATTTGTCTGCTTTGAATAGCTATAATTGCTACCCCTTTGAGATTATGATGCCTTTTTTTGGCCCATGTTCTCTCCTGTAGATCGGCATTTTGACTGCTCGTTACGTTGCAGTAAAGCCAACACTATTCTCTTCTAACTACCAGCTAGCTTGCACTTCCTGTGGTATTCAGTTCAAGGTGATGGGCACTGTCAATCAGCCAGGAGTGGAGAGACAAACTGTTGCTTTTGTTGTGAGCTTAGCACAGACCAAGGTTCTTACCTGACTGAGGTGCTTGTTGGGTAAACTAACTGAGCCGTCTTGTCTGATATTAGAACAGCTCCTTGTGAATTAATGTAATTCTGACTATCCCTTTTGAAGTACAGAGTTTGCATTCAGTGATCTGGTAATGAGTCAGTTCTTTCATCACATGTCCACAAAAGAATAATAGCCTAAGCTCTCAATGAATTCAGTTTCCTGTTTTGAAAGAAATTCTACCTTAGGAGATGTGTCCTTCAGACTCCCTGGTTAGATATTCCATACATTATAGTGGTCATAATGGGCTCAGTTTCAGTCTATCTTGCCGAACAGGAATCTGAGAGTATTGGTTACCACCCTGGAGCTACACCCTACCTGATTGCACACACCAGCAGTTCAGAATCATAGTTGGCTAGATGCAAAACCAGTGTGCAATCTGATCCTGTAGATTTCTTAGCCAGTGAGTTAAGTTAAAAATGACCTCAAATAGTTCCACTGTAATTTAATATTAGAATGTACATGTATAATAAACAAATAAGAGTCTACAAATAAGGACTCAGACTCTGAATTTGCCCATTAGTTTTAATTGTCAGTTGTAAGTTTGACAATTAACGTTCTGTATCAATGTAAAATATAAAAGTGTTTATTTTGGTATCTAGTGTATGTGTAGGGAGACAATAGGATGTAAACTGTGAATATGATTAAAGAGTTCTGACTTGATATCTTTCAGACTACGAAGTCCTCAATGTCACAAGTAGGAATTGTGTATACAGTTAGTCATAGAGGTGTACAGCACGGAAACAGACCCTTCCGTGGAAGTTGTCTGTGCTGAGCAGCCATCCCAAAACTTGGCTCGTCCCATTTGCCAGCATTGGGCCCAATTCCATCTAAACCCTTCCGATTCATGTACCCATCCAGATGCCATTTTAACATTGCACTTGTACCCACCTCCATCACCACCTCCGGTAGCTCATTCCATACGTGCACCAGTCTCTATGTGAAAAAGTTACCCCTCCAGTCCTTTTTAAATCTTTCCACTCTCTCCTTAAACCTATGCCCTCTAGTTTTGGACTCCCCCCCACCCTCGGAACAAGACCTTGGCAATTCACCCTATCCATGCCCCTCATGATTTTATAAACCTTTTATAAGATCAACCCTCAGCCTCCAATGCTCCAGGGAAAAGAACCCCCAGCCTATTCAGCCTCTCTCTATAGCTCAAACCCTCCAATCCTTGTGAATCTTTTCTGATCCCTTTCAAATTTAACAACAACTTTCCTTGAGCAAGGAAACCAGAATCATAACCAGTATTCCAAAAGTGGTCTAACCAATGTCCTGTACAGCTTAACATGACCTCCCAACTCCTATACTCCGTGCACTGACAAGTGTACCAAACACTGCTTTCATTATCCTGTCTACATGTGACTCACTTTCAAGGAACTATGCACCTGCACCCCTAGGTCTGTTTGTTTGGCAACACTCCCCAGGACCCTACCATTAACTGTGTAAGTCCTGCCCTGGTTTGTCTTAACCAAATGCATCATCTCACATTTATCTAAATTAAACTCCACCTGACACTCCTCGGCCATCAGCCGAGGTCTCATTGTACTCCGAGATAATCTTCTTCACTGTCCACTACACCACCTATTTCGGTATCATCTGCAGACTTAGTAACCATACCTCCTGAATTCACAACCAAATCATAGTTGGGTCTGTGTTATGACGCAAATAGCAAACCTACCCAACTCAACCTCACTATTGCTGGATTCACAACATAGTGAAATGAAAACATTGTAACCCTTAAAAATTACTCAGTTGTTCCTAACCAGACTTTACAAAGAACAGACCATGGATTCAAAGTTTACAACTTAATAATAAATTGTTGATTTTTGTTTAAAATGTAACTTTGGCAGTGCACAGATAA